GCCTGTAGTCCCAGCTGCTCGGGAGGCTGAGGCAGAGAATCGCCTAAGCCCAAGAGCTGGAGGTTGCTGTGAGCTGTAATGCCACAGCACTCTACCAAAGGTGACAAAGTTGAGACTCTTGTCTCTTAAAAAAAACCTGTTTGTGCCTAATGTCTGCGTTTTGCCTCTTGTCTCCCCTATCCTCACCATCAATCAGCAAATCCTGAAGACTCCAGGGTTTAAACATCCCCAGAGGCCGACCATGTCTCACACCTCTAATGACAAATGTCTTCACAGGCTTCAGGAGAGATGCAGATGGAGAAGAGAAGGCCATGTGAAGACAGAAGCAGAGACAGAGTGGCGAGGCCTTCAGCCCAGAAGTCCCTGGCACATATATCAGGGAGAGGCAACAAGAAGGCCCCCCCGAAAAAAACAGGCAGGCACTGCTGGCACCTTCCTTCCAGGCTTCTGGCCTCCAGCCTAGTTCTAGAGAATAAATTTCTGTGGTTTAAGCCACCCAGCCTATGGTCATTTGTTACAAAAGGCCAAGGATGATACAAAGCTAAAAAGATTGTAGTAGTGGGCAGCGCCTGTGGCTCAAAGGAGTAGGGCGCCACCCATATGCTGGAGGTGGCGGGTTCAAACCTAGCCCCAGACCAAAAAAAAAAAAAAAAAAAAGATTGTAGTAGTTAAGAACAAACGCGCCACTCAGGGCAGCCATCATAAGCGTCACCACCAGCAAACTTCTACAGACTTTGTCCTCAGAACTCTCTAAAGTCACCACCTCAAGGGGTCATGAAAAGGCACCCAGGGGAGGAAACTGCACCCCTAGCCCCACAAAGCCACTCCTCAAACCCTCTGATGGTACAGTGTGGACAGACCCTAACTCACCGCGATGCGTCCTCAGCCAGTCCACGTTGTGAGCCTCCAGTTCCTCTGGGTCTGTAGTGACCCTGCCAGGGATGATGCATTCAAAGGCGGCCAGGTCCTCCTCAGACACGGTGGAGAACGGAAGCCGCTGCACAGCACAGCGCTCCTGGGTCAGCACCACCGCAGGGAGGCGGGAAGACGTTGAGGAGCAGCCTCTTCGGGCCAGGGGGCTGGCCACCCCAGCCCCCTGAAAGCTGCCCGGCCACCTTCTTGGCTCCACCCAGGCTCTGAGAGTACAGGCTGTCTGCCTCCATCCTGGAGAGGCCCTGAAGAGCCACCACGGCCACCTGGACACCCAATGAGGCGCCATCACTCTTAGCCTAAAAATGAGTGACTGCACTGTAGGCTCTGGGGCACTGAGGACACCACAGCCAGGAAGAGCCCCACATGGCCACCTATACAACATCCAGAGCATAACACAGCTGCCAGGCTGGCAAAATGGAGAGGCATAGGGGGTTCAAACCTAGCTCCAGACCAGTGTGGTCAACCTGCATTATTGGCCTTGTGAGAATTCATAGACCTGTACACCCTGTGGCTAGTGCATTCTCTCCTGGAAGTTATATTTTAACACATTTACAAAAACCATACTTTTTTTTTTTT